CCTTTATTTAAAAGTAGAAGTTAAATTAAGTGTAACTTGCAAATTCTGTTTAAATTTCCCTTTAGATTTTATTTCATCTAAGCAAATTGGCACTTTCAAGTCAACAATAAAGAAATCTCACGCAGCTAAAGTCTTATAACTTCATATTTCTTCATATATAAAGAAATTCCAGTTAAATATTATTATGTATTTACCAACACTTTTGCTTTTTAATAAACTACTCGATTTATCAAAATATTTATGTTCACAGTAAGATACCTCCACTAAAGACTTATTCCCGTCTTAAGCCAACTATAAATATTGTGCTCATCTAAATGCGCATTTTATATGAGTGTGTCTCTCTTTACATTGCCCATAACAATGTTCTTAGTCTGTTTCTGTATCAGATGAGCTTATGGTATAAAATCATGATGCATTCAGCTGCGATGCCATTGGATATTATCCTTAATTACGAGCAGAGATTGAGCTGCTTTTTACTTTTGTGCATACACTAAGTGACGGGTGGGCTAAGGGAAAATGAAAGAATAAAGTACAAGAAGAAGAAGAAAAAGAAAACTGTGTGTGATATGTGACAATGGAGTCTGTGTAAAATGCAGACAACAAAAGACGATAATGAACATGGTGACAATAAACAAGCATTGTGCATGGAAAGCCGACAAGAAAATACCTTAGCAAGTGTATTAAGTACATGTTCAGAATGATATCGACTATGTTTATCGAATAAGAACTTTGATAATGTGTATCGAATACTGCATCGAGTATTTATATCACATGTGCATATTGTCTGTGTGTTTATATATGTTATCCAATTATTTTGTTTCCAAATCATATCCAATCAAATCGAAACGAGTATCTTTTACAAACTTGTATATCGAAGCAGTCTGTCGTATGTGTATATCGAATACTTATATCTTATATCTTCATCGCTTCGTATATCGAATTTAAGTTTAGATGATGTATGATTACGTAACACTATCTGTCATGTTTTTATTAATCATTTTTAGGGTGTGTGTCTAATTGATTTTGACTTCGTATTCCCATCTGTAACTAACATCTTTATCGACTATGTGAATCGACTTTTTCTATCGAGATATACATAAATAATAAGTACATATCGAATATATATTATAATGGCTATCGTTTATCGACTATATGTGCATCACTACAAATCAACTTCAATGCCTTGCAAGGTCGCAACTCGACACATAATCAACGTACCCTTTGTAGTGCTCAGAAATGGCTGTGTGGGTGCACACTGCGTATACGCAATGTTCCAGACATGAACTAGTACGCTTCTTATCGCAGGTCATCCCAGTATGAAATAGGTATTGTACGGATACCCCCACTTAAATCACATTCCTCCACTAACCGACTTCAGTTGCCATGCAAATGCCATTGGCAACAGTTTCAATTTTGCCATTCGATTTGTCGCTTTTGCATCGCTCTTCGCTCATGTGTAACTTAATTAGTTTCATTGTTTGTGTTGTGTGTGTTGTGTTGTGTTGTGTGTGTTGGTCGAATGAGAGTGGGAGGGGACGATGGTGGGGTAGTTTGGGGACTTATGGTCATTGATTGGCTGCGATGCTGTGTGCCCGGACGCTTTATGTGCTGAACTGTGTAAGCGGCTTATTTGTAGATCATTATGCGCATTTTGTAGTTGTAATTGACAGCAGCAACAATCGAGAACACAACCAAAGCTGAACTCGACCCTGGAACAACCTCAACACAGTAACCCGTATGCAATCGATATATTGGTTATTAACTTGTTACTGCCACTAATTAGGCATAAATCAAATGATTGTGTTTTGCCGTTATAATAAATGGCACCCCTTCCCCACTCTCAAAACTAGTTTTATAGATGGGCTCAACACGAAAATTGGCAAAGTTTTTATGCGTGGTTGCAATTCCTGATAACAATTGCCAGTATGTGCTTAAACTGTTTTGATAATCAGGCTAGTAAACACCTCTTATTTACTTATTAACAACATTTGAATTTACGAATCCTCTATTTATTTTAAAGATATATAGATCTTACCATATCTGTTTGGTTGCCAATTTTGGGTTGTGATTAAACATCTCTAAGAATATATGTAGGTGCAATATTTCCAGTAAAATTTAAATGTTTATTCAAAATTATAAATAAATTACTTCACTTAAATTAAAAAAGTAATATTATATTCTTTTTTACATATTTTACACGTTTTCCCAACAATTTTGGCTACTATAAACTAACGGCTAAACTAATCTTCGCGAACTGTATCTTATGCCTTGAACCGAGCTACCTTTATTTAATTTATTTTTGTGTGTGCAAACCTCAGTTGAAATACTTTTTGCCAGCCGTAACATACAGAGTCTCTCATTCATCACACTGTGCTGAAACAGAGCTTAATCAGGGTATAATATTATATTTCTGTTTGCGTTGCCATCAAAACTAGCGACTGCCAGGCTCATATTCCATTCTATAAATAACCACGATTGCTCCCCAGTGTGCAGCACGTGTCAGACATACGCTATATACTATATATCTTTATATATATAATATATCTGAAATGTGATTAAGCTGCTGGGCACTTCAGCACTTAAGTGTGCAATCCGTTTTGTGGAACGTGATATTTGGGGCTTAACTAAACACGACGCTTATTTCAGCACCTTTTGTTCGACCATCAATCAATCAAGCGTTCAATAGACACTTATGTATATTGACCCAAACTACACAATTTCCCATTGCTGCTCATCCAAACTGTGTCATTAGTCAATCTGCAACAACAACAACAACAACAGCAAACAATCTCATCGATATGGTTGAGGCCGCGCAACAAGTTGCCACAAATGGATTTTATTTTATTTTTCTTTTTTTTTTTTGGTTTTGGCCTTTTTCGATAGCTCTATATCTTATGAAAAGTTCAACGTTTGAGTTCAATGTCTTGTCTTCTATTTTTTTTTGCTATTTGTATTTTGTTGTTTTCTCTTTTTTTTTTGGTTTTTTACAAACAACTCGAAACAAATCATTGAAATTAGTTCGGACTTTAATGGTTTTCAGCTTTAAATGGCAGCTGCGCAACAAAATAAAAGTAAGAGTGCTCGAGGCAAGTGCACTCGACTGCACGATACCCTGCAGCCAAAAAAGTGCTTTAAATAAGCATAATACACATTATCCAACTGTTTATGAGCTTAAAGGTATTAATAAAACTCTCATGTAGAGAGATAGCATGGCCAAAGATTAAGTCAAAATTTGAAATGTTCCAAATGTGGTCTTGCGCCTGTTTTAAACAAAAGTTCATTCCGTCTTGTCGGGTGTAGGGTATAAATATTATATATCTATTAAATATTTTTTATATAATTACTTTTCATCTGCTTTCGAATATTCAAACACATCTGCCTGCAACTGTCTAAGTGTCTTCTTCATGCTTGCAATTAAAATCAAATTTTTAGCCCAAGATGAATTTTTATACACTGTTCACAAAGCAACAAAGCAGTATATATATATATATATATATATATATATATATATATATATATATCTATTTTGCTTTTAAAGGCAAAAAGTTTATTTTTATTATTAATTTTTTTTAAATTAATTTTATTATTATTATAATTATTTTATTTTTATCAGAATTTTATTATTATTATTCTATCTTAAAAATGATGTTATTATTATTATTTTATTTCTTATTTTTATATGCATTTTATTATTTTTCTTACAAGTAAAACTTTTATTATTCGCCAATAATTAATTTAAATGCAATAAAAGAGCATTTTTAACAAAGTTTAGTTCTTTGCCATTTCTGTAAGCCAACATTTTGTACGTATTTAAAATTTCCATTAAAATTTTGTGCCCAAGTCAGGTTTCATTTTCAATTCTGTTATTCTTGGCTGTGTGTGTATTTGTGTGTGTGTGTTAGCCTGTCTTTGGTGTGTTTGTATGTTGCCAACTGTCTGCAGACGAAAATATTTTTGTGTTTTGTCGAATCAATATTTTTGGGCGTGCATAGATTTTTAATTGAATTGTGTTGTTTCTTTTTGTTGTCATTTTGTTGGCTTTCGGTTCTGGCGTTGAACAACAATGCCACATGCTGAACGATGGGTTGCTTGGTTAGTTGCTTGGTTGGGTGTGCCCCGCATTCGATTCTTGGCATGTGCAAGCCCAGGTGAAAGGCCTAAACCAATTCACAATGCGCTTTGCCATACAATTTGTATTAAATCCGAATTCTCAGAATTGCATTAAGCATAGAAAGCCATAATATAGCTTAAATGAAATATTATTGAGTTTGATTCCAACTATGGCAGCTTTGGCCAAAGTATTGAAGATGTAGCCCGTTTGCTGGCAAATGTTATCCGTCTCTTTGACGTTAACAAAGACATTTCGGGTGAAAACAAATTTGATACGTTCCAATTACTAAATTATGCACTCTACTTGGCAGCTGCCACACATGAAACTACGCGATGGGAAAATCATTCAGCTGGAAGACTGAATAGCTGAGTTCAGAAAAAAAAAACAGATACATAAATAAATAAAATAGAAACACAAAACACGAAACACGTAAAAACCAAACGAACCAAAGCTGGGGTTAAGCTTCAGCGATTGAGGGGCGAAAAAAAACATAAATGAAAACATGAAAAGAAAATGCTGGCGAAAATGTTCACTAATTAAGAAAAAGAAAATATATATAAAAGTAAATGAAGCTGAAGCAAAATAACAAAAAACAAAAGCAAATTTGGGACGCCGAAGCTAAAGATAAAAATTAATATATATATGTATCGAATGATATATAATATAATGATAAACAAATTTCCAGTAATAATTGTTACGACTGCACAGTGATAACATCTGATGCAGAAAGGTTTGAAGCGAAGAATTTCTTATAAAAATTCTTTCTTTGTAGACCTTTTGTTTCTAGCAGTTCCTTGAACTCTACAGACCATGTCTTACAACATATAGCTGCTCAAGAAGCCTAGTTTCTATACGTTAAGTCCCTAGACAAATAAACTGAAACTTTGCGCAAGATTTCGAATACATTATATTTGCATCGCTTTAACTGCACGCACAAAATTCTAACAGTGAGTAAAACAATTATTTAAAAAAAAATGCTAGACTTTTTCAAGTCTTCCTAAATAACGCTCATTCCTGAAGGTTTGCGTTATATGCTCAGGTAAATTGGTTGACTAATTTCTTGGCTTATCGCTGCTAGGCTTCTCGGGACTGATGTCGGCCAGCATCTTTTGTGTTTCCTGCGCCAGATTCACCAGTGTGCCCAGATCACGTTCCAAGGTATCAATGCGCTTCTTTTGCAGCTCAATAACATTTAGAAAGCGTTCAATCTCCTGGCCGCGCGACATGGCCAGTGCACGCCAATAGACAACATCATCGGTGACATCAACATAATCGGCCATCGATTTGGCATGATTCAAACGCTTCTGCAGCATCAGCACAACCTGGGCCAGGGTGTGCAGGCTCAAGCGTCTGTTAACAGCTTTCACCTTTATTTCACTGTCCCCGGCGGAAGCTAAAGCGAAAGAATCAGGCATGCTAACGTCCAAATTCGGATATATTTCATCCCCCATAATATAATCTTTGGGTTTTTTATGAATACTTAGTTCATTGGGTTCACCAGGCTCTGCTATGATCTTCAGATTGCTCATCATATCAACGGCTTCGTTAACCAGTTGATTATCCAAAGTGTTGTCCATGTTCTTGATAAACTGATTCAAATAGCGCGACTTTAAAATTAAAATCTAAAATATTAATTTGGACTTTCTGCCTGGTTGATTGGATAAAATTTTCAAAACAAATTTCATTTGATATATATTTATAAACATACATATATTTCTCTTTTTGTAGCACACGGCAGAGCTTACTCTGAAAGGTGAAATATTCGACAACATTCTCTGTTGACTATTTCATACGAAACTTTATTTTAAAGCCGCTTTTTGAGCAATTGGCACAACATTTGGCTCCCAACCGAAATCTTATTTCTTTTACTTGATTTCTATCATAAAAACCTTAATTGCTGCGTGAACATTTCCGCAGAAAATTTTCACTCGCCAGCTTCAATTTCCGTGCGTCGCATCTTTATATATATATATTATATTTTTTATGGCACATTTAACAACACACGAAATCTTGTACATGGCTAATTTCCAATTCGAGACCCCAAACATTTTCTCTCTCTACTTTTAATGAGCTGCTAGCTTTAAGTTTTGATATTGTTTCCATTTTCACTGAGGTCACATTCACATTAAGACATTTGCACGTTGATGATTGCAATAGAGCGATAGAAATGTTTTTTCCTAATGTGCAATTTCTTAATGTAATTTGTCATGAAAAGCAAGTGCAGAGGTGATCGGCTTGCAGATGCCCCGTGCTAAATCTTTGTTGCTCTCATATGCATAAAAGTAGTATTACTTTATTTTGAAACATTTCAATTTATACGTCTAGAAGTGCAGCCAAATTATATATGGGAAATATGACTTTGGTAGGAAAAGACTCCAGTCTTTAATTTAACTAAGATCCATAACAGGCAGAATTTATGCTAACCTTCTTATTTTGTATGAAGAATCAATTATCATTAACAGAATAAATAAAAAAATAATTGCGATTTATTCATACAGACATATGCTAAACACTTTAGTCTTAACTATTTCTGCAGAAATGTGTTGGCATTTTCCAAACATAAAGTAAATCGTGTGTACAAATATGCATCCCTCGCGTCTTAGTTCTAAACCCCAAGCACGCTGAGCTCAGCAAGGATACAGACCTCTTTATCACTCTTGTCTGCCCATAGACCTTGTTTTTTATGGCTATAGGGTATATAAAAAGGTTAACAAACTTTACAAGCAAATGGCAGGCGCTTATCAGATTTGCCTGTCAATCGGCTGCTTTTGGGCAATTTGCGAAAGCCGCAAGGCAACAAAAATTTGTTGGCCCAAAAAGTGCAAACTGTAAACATGACGAGTAATTTATTGTCTTTGGCCAAACAATGGCAATGTTAAATGCGTTGAATGCTCCACAAAATATGGTACAAATAAATAAATAAATAAATAAATGTATATAATTTATAAACTATTACGAGGCCGTTGCATGTGTGAAATGCACTGCAGCTGCAGTTAATTGGCCTTAGAGGTTAATTGAAAAATCTCTCACATGCAGACACGTAAAGCTGTGTACAACCTGCCTTTCCCCCCACCCGAAACTCTCTCCATGTGCTTTGTAGATCTATCTTTTACTCACACACTCACAGTCAGCTGTTGCTTTGGTGTCTCGCTGTGATTGTGGCAATGCGAAGTTGCGCAACTTGAAATTCATTTGCTGCAGATGAGACTGGGGCGGCGAGACGAGCAGATGCCAAACCGAATTGCGGCCAAAGCAACAATTGCAAATTGTTGTGTAGCAGAGTATTGTGCATGTGTGTGCATGTGTGTGTGGCATCTTCACGACGATGGGGCAACAAAGTCGCGGAGTCAAAAGCCTTCCTTGTGTCTTATGGCTAAGTAGCTGCAGCTGTCGGTTAACTCGTCTCCAAATTCAGCCTTCATTTTTGGTTAAGACCAAAAACCAACAAGCTGGCGGCCTTTTCTCTCGGGCTGCCAACATGCAAAACTCAATTAACCAATTTCTTTGGCGGGGGCAGGGGTCCTCTGCCAGTTGGGGCTTACGCTAAGCAGCCAAAAAATTAAACCACAAATTTTGTTGCTGATGGAAAGTTGTTTTCTTTTAGTTAAGCCTAAAACTTTCGACGCAAAGAACTTAATTTAATTTACAAAACATCACTTTTACTCATAAGCTTAACTTTAAAGTAATTTATATACTTAAAGATATACCTAAAGATTTTAATGTATTATCTCTATATATAAAACTGTTTGTCTTGACTGATTGGTGATCAACGCACAGCCCGTTAAGATGGGGTTTCGAGAAACTCTACCCAAATGTCTTATAAAATCGCGAAATCAAAGATCTTTCAAATTAATTTACGGAGTGTTTTACTTTAACCATAACTCGGTCAAAAATCAAACGATTTTCATTAGTCTTGGCTTTTCCTACATAGTTTTCCCTCTAGATTAATCTGGAATTCAAATCCCAATACATAATTTTTAGTCGAAATTCATGTCAAAATCTTACCCCTAAGATTCGTATATAGACATAGGTCGAAAATCCCACTCCCATAACTTGATCAAAACCCGACCGATTTGCATGAGTCTTGGTATTTATACATAGTTTTCCCTTTAGATTAATCTGGCATTCAAACTTGAATACATAATTTTTAGTCTAAATTCATGTCAAAATCTTACCCCTAAGATTCTTGTATAGACATAGGTCGAAATTTCGCACTCCCATAACTTGGTCAAAACCCGACCGATTTGCATGAGTCTTGGTATTTATACATAGTTTTCCCTTTAGATTAATCTGGCATTCAAACTTGAATACATAATTTTTAGTCTAAATTCATGTCAAAATCTTACCCCTAAGATTCGTATATAGACATAGGTCGAAATTTCCCACTCCCATAACTTGGTCAAAACCCGACCGATTTGCATGAGTCTTGGTATTTATACATAGTTTTCCCTCTAGATTAATCTGGCATTCAAATCCCAATACATAATTTTTAGTCGAAATTCATGTCAAAATCTTACCCCTAAGATTCGTATACAGACATAGGTCGAAATTTCCCACCCCCATAACTTGGTCAAAACTCTACCGATTTTCAAAAGTCTTGGCTTTTTGTACATAGTTTTCCCTCTAGATTAATCTGGCATTCAAATCTCAATACATAATTTTTAGTCGACATTCATGTCAAAATCTTACCCCTAAGATTCGTACCTCTAAGATTCGTATATAGACATGACATATTTCAAAATTTCCCACCCCCATAACTTGGTCAAAAATCAACCAATTTTCATGAGTCTTGTTTATTTTTACATAGTTTTCCCTCTAGATTAATCTGGCATTCAAATCTCAATCCATAATTTTTAGTCGAAATTCATGTCAAAATCTTACCCCTGAGATTCGTATACAGACATAGGTCGAAATTTCCCACCCCCATAACTTGGTCAAAACTCTACCGATTTTCAAAAGTCTTGGCTTTTTGTACATAGTTTTCCCTCTAGATTAATCTGGCATTCAAATCTCAATACATAATTTTTAGTCGAAATTCATGTCAAAATCTTACCCCTAAGATTCGTACCTCTAAGATTCGTATATAGACATGACATATTTCAAAATTTCCCACCCCCATAACTTGTTCAAAAATCAAAGAATTTTCATGAGTCTTGTTTATTTTTACATAGTTTTCCCTCTAGATTAATCTGGCATTCAAATCTCAATACATAATTTTTAGTCGAAATTCATGTCAAAATCTTACCCCTGAGATTCGTATACAGACATAGGTCGAAATTTCCCACCCCCATAACTTGGTCAAAACTCTACCGATTTTCAAAAGTCTTGGCTTTTTGTACATAGTTTTCCCTCTAGATTAATCTGGCATTCAAATCTCAATACATAATTTTTAGTCGAAATTCATGTCAAAATCTTACCCCTAAGATTCGTACCTCTAAGATTCGTATATAGACATGACATATTTCAAAATTTCCCACCCCCATAACTTGGTCAAAAATCAACCAATTTTCATGAGTCTTGTTTATTTTTACATAGTTTTCCCTCTAGATTAATCTGGCATTCAAATCTCAATACATAATTTTTAGTCGAAATTCATGTCAAAATCTTACCCCTGAGATTCGTATACAGACATAGGTCGAAATTTCCCACCCCCATAGCTTGGTCAAAACTCTACCAATTTTCAAAAGTCTTGGCTTTTTGTACATAGTTTTCCCTCTTGATTAATCTGGCATTCAAATCTCAATACATAATTTTTAGTCGAAATTCATGTCAAAATCTTACCCCTGAGATTCGTACCTCTAAGATTCGTATATAGACATGACATATTTCAAAATTTCCCACCCCCATAACTTGGTCAAAAATCAACCAATTTTCATGAGTCTTGTTTATTTTTACATAGTTTTCCCTCTAGATTAATCTGGCATTCAAATCTCAATACATAATTTTTAGTCGAAATTCATGTCAAAATCTTACCCCTGAGATTCGTATACAGACATAAGTCGAAATTTCCCACCCCCATAACTTGGTCAAAACTCTACCGATTTTCAAAAGTCTTGGCTTTTTGTACATAGTTTTCCCTCTAGATTAATCTGGCATTCAAATCTCAATACATAATTTTTAGTCGAAATTCATGTCAAAATCTTACTCCTAAGATTCGTTTATAGACATAGCTCGAAATTTCCCACTCCCACAAGTTGGTCAAAAATTAACCGATTTTCAAAAGTCTTGGCTTTTTGTACATAGTTTTCCCTCTAGATTAATCTGGCATTCAAATCTCAATACATAATTTTTAGTCGAAATTCATGTCAAAATCTTACCCCTGAGATTCGTATACAGACATAAGTCGAAATTTCCCACCCCCATAACTTGGTCAAAACTCTACCGATTTTCAAAAGTCTTGGCTTTTTGTACATAGTTTTCCCTCTAGATTAATCTGGCATTCAAATCTCAATACATAATTTTTAATCGAATATCGTGTCAAAATCTTACCCCTTAGATTCGTACCTCTAAGATTCGTATATAGACATGACATAGTTCGAAATTTCCCACTCCCATAAGTTGGTCAAAAATCAACCAATTTTCATGAGTCTTGTTTATTTTTACATAATTTTCCCCTTAGATTAATTTGGCGTTCAAATCTCAATACATAATTTTTAGTCGAAATTCATGTCAAAATCTTACCCCTGA